TCGTCTACATAGTTAGTTTCATAACTTGAATGCTTTCATTCTATATTTTTTTGCTAGCTTATATTAGTGATAATGTGAGAAATTTTCTTAGTTTTTGTTTATGTAGATTGTATTATCATTGAGTACTACAAAATTATTACAGTGAAGCACTTTGATTCATCCGCAATCTTGCATTTTTATATTTAACCAAATTAAATATATTCATCATAAACATGTGTATTTTTAGCCTTCCATAACTCATTAAATATAACGTTTATTGCAATATATCAACATGCTTTATTCTTTTACTCAATCGTCTTCACATTAATCATTAATCCAAATCAGCCAATTTCAATTCCAAGGATTCCAAATTTGACTTTTTACGTTTCATTCTTATGGATTTTTATGCACTTGCGAGCAATATACACTTCCTAACATCTTTTTTTTTATATGTATATATTTACATGGCAGTACCATCAATGCTAGTAGTATATACAATTCAAGCTTCCCGGACTTTCTTATTATATAATTCTAAAATGTCTGCATGATTTCAAGGGGTTAGATCCCTCCTCCCTGTGGGTACGAATTTTCCCATAGTAATTAGCTCTTGAAAAAAAATATTTTATGCTATGTTATCTAGCTTACTTTTATATGACAACAATCATTCATGTATACAATTTCCTTTTCTCTCAATCTTTCACATTTGTCCAATTTCGTTTGTCTAAATTAGTGATTCCATTGATAACACATTTTAGTTAAAAACAGATTTTGAAAGACTCTGGATGATCAGAACTGTTATTTTGAGAATTATAAAACTGATCATTGATTTTAATTTCAATTTGGCATACCAAGTTTTGTAAATATATCTTGATTGGGCATCATTACGTATTTTCACGAGGTAAAATTATGAAATACATCTAGCTAAGGTGTGTAGTTCATCAGATTTTGGTTATACTTGAAGATTTCTCAACATAAAAAAAATGTATAGTTTGAGGTGAAATAAATTGAAAGAACAAAATTTTCAAATTCAAAACTTATATTAAATATGATTCATGAAGTTAAAAATCTCACCCTAAGGATTCTTTGTGATGTTTGTTTTGCTGAAACATAGAAATACAAGATTCTGCATGAATTTTTGTGGATGAAGTTTCCAATTTAATAATAACCATCATGAAGTTAATTTTTGTCATGAGCATATTCAATACATTACTGAATAGATTATCAATGACATCAGTAATGGATGATAGATTTTTATCATATGATAAAAATTTTAAATCACCTATAAAGTCTTGAATTTCCAATTTTTATTAAATTATACATTATTTTCAAATAGATATTGTTTCTTAAATAATTACCACTTTTTAATTATTCACATGCTAATTAATCTTCATTGAAATTCAATATATGCACATTTTATTTGATAATCATATTTAGTTCATACAAATCAAAATAATGATATTTAAGACAATGTTTTATTTTGATTCATTTGTCGTGAATTGTGTATAAATAGTAAATTGAAAATTTCATATAGATATATCAATTGATGAGTTCAGTGATCTAGTTAGAAAGGAAACTTGAGTAATCAATGTATTCAATATTATCCCAATGATTTTACCAAAATAAGTTCATGGTTGTTTTTGAACAAAATTTCAATAACATTATGGAAAAAATTGCTCCTTGCATACTTACGTTATTTTGTTGTTAATTCTAAATAAAGCCCATATACATTTTCAAAATATTTTGTTCCATAAAAACAAACATATAGCCCTTTGTGAAATATTTGTATCTAGATAGAAACCACACACATATGTATATATTATAATATATTTTTTGTAATTAGATGTTTTCTTTTAATCATTTTGGTAAGATAATAAGGTAAGGTAAGGCAACACATCTATAATACTTTAAGTTCATTATTGTGATTAACTTCATAAATAATTAAAAGCATCAATAACATAAATTAAAAATCAACAAGAATAATATTCTGTGTGAATTGATACTTATGAGAACCAAGATGATGATAGATTTTAAATATGAAATAAAGATTTACAATTTTGATTGAAATGATAACATTTGATCAAAAAATATATTCAATTTTTTATAAAAATGAATTTTAAAATTCACACAAAGTATGAATACGTTTTAGTTTTATTGTTTTCTTAAATTTCTTTGTAATTCAAACATCTCATTTTGCATTGAAAAATAAAAGAGTTAAACTCTTTGCGTATATACTTTGGTTGAGACTATAAATAGCATAGATAAAATATTGGCAAAGTTTTGAATGATTTGTATGCAATTGTAGCTTATACTCATGTTTTGAAAATGATTTGATTGAGATAATTGTGTGGACATGTTCTTTAAAGTTTTGAAATTTTATAACATAAACAAAGTTTGTTCAATTGGCAGCGTATAAGTTGAATTCATGATCGTAAGAGTTTTGAAGGATTTACTCTGATGGAAGTTCTGTTTCAAAAACAGAACGTTATGAGGTAATTTGTTTGCATTTTAAACGCTATAATATTTTACTTTTATTCAACACTTTCATGAGACAAACCTCCAATCGGTCAAAAATAATTCAAAATTCATAGAAATTCAAAATTTACAGGAATTTTTAACTTATGTAAGATATTTGTTTTAAAGTCATGATTATTTCTTATAACCCATTTTCTTGTATTTGGGTAAAAAACATTGAAAATCAGATCTCACATATTGTCAAACTTGACATTGTGTTTTACAAACAATGATAAACTTTTATACAAATTTGTAAAATGTACATATTCGCAAAATGAAATAAATTTGTTTCTTAAATTCACGTTATTATTCAAACATAATGAAAATTCATAGATGTATCTGACGTAAAATTGACCAAAAGGATTCAACATTTAAGTTGATGATTCAAAAATATCGTTAATAATCAAGTTAACCAACAAAATTCAAGGTCTTGTTATATTTGTTCTTATAATATAACTTAATAGACTATATAATAGTTGTCTACTTAAAACTATATTATATATGTTTACTTGTTGCAATTTTTGCATGTTTGCATGTTTGCCCAAAGACAAGTTTGTTGTACAAAAAACAAGTGTAAATCATATTCAAATTTTGTGTACACATGCAAGTAATGAGCACATATTTTCAATATTAAAACTCTACAAGAGATAATTTGAGTTTTAATAGTTGATTATCACATGTATCATTTAAATAGAATTCAGTCATGAATTTGAAAAGTTCTGTTCAAGTTTGTATGTCATTTTATTTGCAATTTATACTTCACTATGTATTATATTCACTTCTTGGTGAATACTAAAGATATGAATAAATATCAAAATATCATTTGATGAAATTTAAATTTGATGGATTGTACATTCTACACTTATGTATACTGAAACTTATTGAAGTTGTTCCATTTTAGAGCATCCAAATACATTTTCCAAATTATTTTCTTACTTTTATTCAAGTAAAGCATAAACCTACATATAGAATATTTGTGAGAAAGATGATATATTTGTGATAGAAAGGATGGAAAAAATCATAAACCCTCATTCATAATATCTCTATAATTATGCAATACTATCTGATGAGATTTATTTTGGATAGACAATAAAAAATACTCGTTAAAAGTAGTGCGTAGTTAATGATTCATCAATTTTTACATTTTATATTTACATTGTGTTAAAATATTCATATCGTTGAATTAGCGAAACAAATATTGATCCATTCTACAGTAAGTTTTAATATCACTTTATTTGCTTCAACATAGAAGTTGTTGAACACATGTGATGTTTGTATCGTTAAAATCAATTGAGACCGTTTGCCATACTTATGCATAGATCGATGAGAGTTATGGTTGCATATGCTTATCTTGTATATATATGTTGAATACTTTAATTTTGGCATTTTTTTTTCATGAAGTATATTTGCTTGGTTATACTCGTGGTAAAAGCATAGAAAGATTGCCATTATAATCTAATGGACAATTCTGAAATCATTTGAAGTTAAAATGGAATCCCATGTGATCCCAAATGTGTAACAAACACTTGTTTAGAGTAATTCCACTTATCTTATATGTATTTTTATACAAATATGTTTGTATGCCTTACCAAAATGAAGATTTCAAATGTTATACATGAACTTATGGGAACCAGGAAAACACGTAAGATCCAAAACTTTTCATTTATGTAGGTTCAAAAGTGTATATCTTTGCAATGTTTGCATTTGTTGTGAGATATTTTCCTGAAATGAAACAAAAGATCTACACATTGACATATATTGAAAATATGTATTGACTCAAAGCTACATCAATGAATCAGATGAAGGAATCATCCATTCAATCTGGAGTGTGATCTCATCCCACATTGGTATCTACTCAACATGTGATAAATGTTCAACAATGTGCTTGAATCCCAGTTTTGGTTAGCATTTAAAAATAGTTATACTCAATATTTTTGCGAGGAATAAATTTTCCTGGTCGCATGGATAAGTTAGCAATACAAAAATGAAGTTATATCATTTTTTCGTTGATATATGACAGTAGAAAACTCAAAATTTCACCAGAGTATCCCATGTTAGAACCACATTTGATGGCTCAGATTGAGGACTCAATATCTTTTACTTCTTATATCCATTTCATCTTCTGAAAATTTTCAAATTTAGCTAAGCTCCTTATCTCTCGAATGGAAAAATAACAAGAAATTTTGGGATTGGAATCATAGAGATGTGCCCCTGAAAAGAGAAGTGGAAAGCACAGGTTTTTTGAGAGTCCAAGCCTCCATATCCATATGGCAAGCAAGCTGAAAACGAGTCTGCGCCATGAGCGTGTTGCAGTGAATGAGACGGCTATACTTTGTCAGATACAGTTGAATATCTACCGTCGATAACAGTGCATCCGACGGCCCGGCGAGAATAATTGCTCTCTCATCGATCCGTGCCCCGGTATTTTCCGCCAATGAGCGTGCTTCGTTAGGGCCCCGACGCCGATGACGAAATTGGAGCGATCGGTCCCTATCGCTCAACTCTGCTCTCCTCTACTTAGCCTTTCTAGCTCTCCGATTTTTCTCTCACTCCCATCATTTTTTAGCTGCTTTGTTTCAGCCATCGTGATCTATTCATCGATTATAGATTCGGATTTTCATCCAAATTTTCTTCTGCTTTTGCATAATTATTGTGCGTTCCTGCAGAAGAATTATCTGCTTCGGGATCGTTAGTTCGAGCCCAATTGAGGTTTAGATTTTTCAAGTCGGGGCAGCGAGTGCATTGTCTGTTCTGATTTAGCGATCGATCGTGGCCGATTCACCTGTACACGAACGAGAGAGATACTGAGTGAGAGAGAGCGAGCGAGCGCGTTAGTTCTTTCATCGCCGCGAGTCGAGTCGAGCCGATTCGAGTGCGAGCCGGGATAACTGCCATGGCCACCGCTGTTGAAGCTGCTCCGGTTGCCGAGCCAATTGTGTCGATGTCAACTGAGCCCACTGTCGAGACGAAGCCCGAGGAGAAGCCCGAGAAGGCAGTCAAGGAGAAGAAGCCGAAGGTTCCCAAGGAGAAGAAACCGAAGGCAGTGAAGGCTATCGCTGGACATCCTCCTTACGTAGAGGTGATTCCCCGTGCACTTGCTGTGAATGTTGCATTGACATGACCCTTGTAGTTAGTATGTGAGCTGCAGTTATGCGCATCGTATGGATCATAACACTCTTCTGTGCTTCTACACTGCTCACGAGAGTTTTTTTGGATAGAGATGATAATTTAGTGCAACATCCCGCGATGTACTACATGATCGGGTCAAGGCAGCGATCATTTCTACAGCCTTCGACCGTAGCTATCATCTATTTTCGTCTCAAAGGCTTCAGGTGTTAAGAATGGAATTTTGTCAGTATTTCAATTGGTCGTTTAAGCGATATATTTCTTCCGACTCGAACGGAACAATGCGTTTAGCGTGGATGAATGTAGACTCGCGCTTAGCGTTCCTTCCACTGTCTCCTGTACTGTCAGAGTGGTCTGAGTCGTGGTTATTCATAGGTTAGTACCGGCATTTAATTCGTGCTGCGTTGCATCATCTGGACGCCTCGGTATTTTTGCATTTAGCTCCCTCGTCTTAAACTCGGGACTCAACCTCGGACGCAGCAGGATGTTGTTGTTGGTTCCGATGAGGGCTTCCACTTTTCTCGGCGGTTCCGGCCGCGTGAATTGTCTGACAGCCGTCCAAGTCGCTGACGTGAAGTCTTCTGCTTGACTACAGATGATCAGGGAGGCCATCGCGACACTCAAGGAGAGGACTGGTTCAAGCCAATACGCAATTGCGAAGCATCTGGAGGACAAGTACAAGACCGGGCTCCCTCCCAACTTCAAGAAGACACTTTCGATTCAGTTGAGAAACCTTTCCAAGCAAGGCAAGTTGACCAAGGTGAAGAATTCCTTCAAGCTTTCAGACGAGTTGAAGAAAGAGCCGAAAGCTCCGAAGGCTGTGAAGGCCCCGAAGGTTCCCAAGACAACGACAGCTGAGCCGGTGGTGAAGAAGTCGGCGGGTCGACCCAAGGGATCGACCAAAGCGAAAGCCGCAGCTGGAGCAGCGAGCCCGAAGGTTGCCAAGAGTGTGAAGGCCCCAAAGGCGACAAAGGTGAAGGCAGTAAGGCCTGTAAAGGCAACGAAGGTTGAGCCCAAGCCCGCAAAGGTAGCGAAGCCTGCAAAGTCGCCGGCCAAGGAGAAGACGGCCAGTCCAGCAGCTGAGAAGCCAGCGAAGCGAAAGGCACCGTCGCAGAGGAAGGCCCCTGTTCCCAAAACAGCCGCACCGAAGAAGGCTACAGCACCGAAGAAGGTGACGACTCCGAAGAAGGTCCCGAAGTCGATCAAGTCCCCGAAATCTCCGAAGCCGGCGAAGTCTCCAAAAACCAAGACCGCCGGAGCCACACGGAGAAGTGCTGCGAGCCCTCCAGCGAAGAAGCAAAAAAAATGAAAGACTTGATTAGGACGGAATGTTGCGACGGTGTTTCTTGACACCATCCTTCTGATAGGCACATCGGCATCCCTTGGACATCTCATTATCCTCAGGGCAAAAATTACGGGTTTGAGTAGACATGCAATTTCAGAAAGCATGTCTGCTGACCTCTCGAGTCTTACACAGGCGAGACTGCCCAGCGCGTCTATTTTGGACTCGTATCACCTGTGGTGTACAAATTCCGAGAAGACGATCCATTAACGGATCGAGCTCTCGGGAGGATTGTAGGTTGGGGATTGACGATGTTATAGAGTTTGAGTGACTCTTCCAATGAGAACTGCCTGAGGGTATACGGAAGTGTAATCTAAATCCGCTCGCTACCCTGCATTTTTCCCAGTTCAGATTGGTAGATGGTGAAGCTTATAAGTCTGTACATTCTTGTACCTTACCATACCAATCTTTAGATAGGGAAATTGTATAGAGAATCACTGTATTAGTGTAACTGCCAGCGGAGGTAAATTGGTAGAGTTTTGACTGTAATGTATGGCACTCGCCACTGAATATCATCGTGCTGTGATTGGTTACCATCTCAGTGATCTTAATACATGATGTAAAACATTGGCGAATTTTCTGTGTCGCATTTCCCTTTGACGCTGTGGTTGGTTGCCTGCGAATCTGATTGCTCCTACCGGTAGATGTTCATGTGTTGTCTGCGGTAGATTTGTCCGACATGCGCCACGTGCACCCAACAGTGATTTATCTTCACAAGTCACCCAATTCTGTTGTGGCCCTTCAGTCGCCACCCATCTGATCAACTTGTTGCGGGTGGGAGGAACGTGTGGAAATATCATCAGATTACAGTCTAGAGCGGAAATCGTCGACCATTGCCGCACATCCAGCCAAATCGCTGCGAAGTGGCCAAACTGAGAACGTAATCTCCATACGATAAAGTTAAACCTTACTGCGTGTTCAAGCAATGCTAAAACTCGAGTACTTTGAATGTTGCAACCGATCACTAGGAAAACTCTATTAGATATGATGTACCCCGAGTAAACAGTCAATAGCCCCGCGTGCACTCGACGAATGTAACGATCTGAGAAATGTCATCAAATGAAAATGTAAACTTATGAGATTGAAGAAACATAAAACTCACATAAAAAATGTGAACGGTAAGAATATTGTTTGCAGTTGCGAACTTTTAAGGTGATAACATCATGTGTTCACGCAGTAAGTTAGAGATGAAAGGGCGTGAAATCACACGTAAACGTTGGTCATGATTTGTTGAGTGCAGCGATAAGACATTTCGCAAGCAATGATTGACAGCGCGAGATTTGGCCGAATGTGTCGACCGTAATTTTGAGATTGTGAGCCAAGACATTATTCTCGTTTATTTCTCCGCTCGGCGTTATTGTTTATAACAGATGTAGCAGAATCTTGACAAATAAAAAACCGTTCTCGTTGAAGAGTGGGCAGCTGAGTCGAGCGCTCTCGTCACCTAGGGAGAACGACTACTGGAGCCGACAGCGATCAACTCTTCATCGACAGTTCAGAAATCAAGAAGAGAACAAGGCAGGTGAGTTTCCCTGTGATGAAGGGGAATTGCGACAATCTCACTCGCGACCGGTTGAAAAGACTTGTGTGTTTCTGACATACTCGACGCAGGCGGAATTTCCCAAGACTGAATAATTCGTAGTGCGATAAGGTGTGTGGCTCAACTTCGCACTGGTGTGCATCACCAAATTCGCACAGCACAGAACCCGCTCCGAAATTCCGGAATTCAGCGATTACTCGAGAGAAATTACAGTCAACCATGCCCAATCTGTGAGAGAGTTAACACCAGCCGCTCAGTCGATGCAATCCGGGGGATCGGCACTTCGGAGTCCAAATTCTCGCAGTGAAACTAGGACTGTAAACGATCGACGCACACGGATGATCCAGATCGTAAGGACAGACACCTCTCAGAAGAAACGCAACACGCGTGAGCTCGATCTCTCTCTGGCGGGATGAATCGAATTTTGAACCCTTCAGGGAAATTTGCCTCCCGAACGAGCGAGCTGTCGAAGTATCCCTCGGAGCACTCGGAGATCTGGGCACAAATTCAAACCGGCAGTCAACTTCGACGCGGGCGGTAAAATTCAAATCCCTTCTTGAGGACAAAAAGGTGCTTCTATCCGCTCGAAAAAGGATCGGGAAGACGTGCAGACGGTTCGCCTCCGGCTGCAGCAGCAGCACAAGAGCGAGGCCCGAGTGCGGCGAGCGCTCGGGAGCAGACGGGGCGGAGCACCCTGTTGGCGAATTCAAATTTCAAATGTTGGCCTTTCCCTCCGATCCTACCACACGTACTCCGAACCTGCACCCACATTACCGTGCGCAGACGTACGGGCCTACTCTGAATAGGTGTGGATAATGCTACGCTGGCGGAAACATCGGCGGCCCAAATTTGGTCCGGCCGTCACGTTCTTGTCTGCGTGGTTCTTCCGTCTGCGATTCCCTCTTCCAGGGAGAACTCTCCGCACGTCATAATGCTGCTTATCGCTTCCTTTGTATTTCAGGAAGTATTTTGTTCTTTTGCTATCTCTATCAGGACTTGGGACTCGGTCCCCTTCTATTCATGAAACGCCAACTTTGCTTCGACGTCCGGGCGATTTATTTAGCTCTAATGCCCGTGAGCTGCTCTTTATGGCTCCAGTTGTATTCTTTCAACTTAGGAATGCTTTAGATATACTCAAACTGTATTATGGTCGTGACTAGTGAAAGAGATGGATCTCAATGTAGTTTCTTTTTCTTTCTAAGAAGGACTTTCTAACTTCCTAACTGTTACAAACATTTTGTTGGAAACTATTTATCTTTTTACATGAAAGTGAAGGTATAGTAAGGCAAGAATCAAATTTAATAATGGTGCATAAGTCAAATAAAACTACCAACTGACACAAGGCAAAGTGGAAAAACCTCATCACTCAAGTAACATGTACATGTTATTTGAACTGAGAAGCTATAATATAAATAAAAATAACAGGGCCATAAATCATATCTCCTTTATGGCATTAGATGAGATGTAGGAAAGACATTGATTCAAACAACATCAAGGTAGTAGAAATAAAAATGAATCGTTCAATTCCTTGATGCTACTTGAAAATTAATATACAAATTGCTTTCATGACCTCAAAATTTCTCTAGGTTTTTTCAAATTGCTCACAAAAATAAGCTTCAATGTATCAATGAAAACTTCCACAAGCATTTTAAATTATATTTGTCAGGTACACTTGGTGATGTCATAGAAAAACCTAGATCATCAAACATAATAATAAAACAGAACTTTATTCATCTTAGTGAGTCTTTGTCAAAAATCATATTTCTTAAAAAAAAAGATTTTTTTCCTCAAAGAGCTACTGACAGAATTTTTATATAGTAGTTGTTATTATATTTTAATTTTTCAAGAGAAAATGCAAACCATCAACCCAAGGAGAAAAAAAATTAGGTTCATCAAAGCGAGACTTCATCACAATGTCATATTCATAAAATCCTGAAATCCAACGGGCCGGGAGACGTTCGCACGCGTCAGGAATTCTAGTGGGCGCGTGAGGAGACAAAGTTAGGGCTTCAAGGGTAAGGGCAGTACGAATAATCTTTGCGCTGACATTGCAATATCGAGCAAGAATGAGCGAGCGAGAGAAAGAGCGAAATCGACCGACCTTGCTAGCAGTGAAGACGCGAATCAAAGTCATGGGGCCGAAAAAGAGTGACAAGGTGCGGAAATTGGTTCCCATGAAGGTGCCCTACGAAGAATTGCGACCCTTCAAACGCGAGCTGAGTGAGTTGCGACTTGAATTCCTCTTTTGGAATTGGAATTGCGTCTCGGTGAGTATCTGCAAGGAGATAATCGATAAGAACCAGACCGAAGGCGTGGAGCTTCGAGGTAATCCCATGCTCTGGACAATTGAGCATTGGACGAAGATGATGGGACAGTGCGCAGGTAGCGACAGAGACCTTTCGTTTGAGGAGAGTAGCGTGGGACTTACGCGCACCGAAGAATTCTCTTGCGGACCACTCTTCAGTTCCGGGAGACAGGGAACGAACAGGTGGAAGACAACGGATTACAAAGATCCGAAGAGAAGGGCGATAGCGTTGGGAATAATGCACATCTAGGGGAGGTTCTCCCACCCCTTTGGAGATGTTAGTAGGACATGGAGTGGAGGCCGCAGCAGAGGAGGCTGTGAGGCCCAGTGCTAGAGAATCGCCCAAGATTTTGGCAGCAACAGAAATCCTGGGGTCAGAAGACGACATGCCTTCGGAGGAATAGGAAGTGCAGTCGGTGCGAGGCATGCTGACCGGAGTGCTGTGTGAGCAGGTGGTACTGTTACTCCGGTACCTTGACCGCTAGGCGGCCAAGTACGGGGATCCCCGTCAGGGTGGATCCTACGTTGAGCTAGTCCGACATCGGACGCGGATCAAAGTGGCGGCGAATCCTGAGTTGATTGCCCAAGACTAGAAATACCGGAACTTGGAGGAGCGCTACAACTTTCTGCAGGATCAATGGGCCTTAGCCCGGAAATTGCAAAAGGCGGCGCTAAAGCTGCGAGATGAGATGGTGGCAAACGCGCGGCGCGAAATAGATGAGCTGCGTGCGAAGGTCCAGACGGACTCCTGTGTTGAGCAAATTGAAATCCGCAATCTGGCGGATGAGCTCGTGCGGAAAACGCAGGCGTTAGAGCAGAGCGAGGCTGCGAGAAGGGTGGACGAGGAATTGCTGAGGAGACTGCAGTAGTAGTGCGAAGAATTGAGGGCGCAGCGGGCGGCGGCGGAGTTACAGTTGGCCGAGGTTGAAGGCCACAACCTGCGCGTGGCAGATCGCACCGTGAGGAATTAGTTGCGCGGGTTTCCGCTGTCTAAGGCGTTATTTTCACTGGAAGGTTGCGACCCGGGAGAGGGTGATGTTGCGCGAGCTTGAATGCGCGCGACTGCCTTGATGACTGGCGACGGACGAAGTTGGCGGCGGGTGGCAAAGCGTTTGGAGACGTTCCTGTCTAGGTCGCGGGATGTTATTGCAAATCTCGAGGCGGAGGTGACCGAGGTGTTGAGGCGGCTCGGACTGCGTAGGCGAGCAGACGAGTGGACGAGTAGGGAATTAGTGGGTCGCCGGCCGACTCATAGGAGGCATAGTCGATAAGTAGAGTCAGTTAGTTAGAACTTTAGATTGTTTAAAGTAGTTCGGGGCGTTGGCCTTAGGGGATTTTCTAGTTTCGGAAGTTCAGTTTAGGAAGTCGTTTTCTTTGCGTGTTTGTGTGTCACCGCGCAAGAGGAGTTATAGATTGTCGAAGTTAACGCATCCTATAGCAGAAGGCTTTCGTCCGAGTGTTATGTGCTAGCGTAGGCTAGTCAGGATTTAAGCAAGTTCAGACTTACACATTTGGACGATTTTCCCTATTTGTATTTCTTCGGGATTTCCTCCCTGAATACCAAAGTGAAGTTTTGTTAACTTCCAAGTAAGGAGTGCTTGGGTTCAGGTTGAGTGTGAGAGTGTTTTAAGCTGCTTAAGGTGCCTTCGGGGATAGCCTTCGTAGTACTTCTGGGAATAACAGTTGCATGAGAATTCAAACTCGTCAATAGACTGTTAAGACGTAACACTGGGTCTTTCTCAAATTAGTTTCTCAATTCGGACTTCTGCATTCTCTGCGCGTTTTGTGAGTTGAGTGCGTTGTTCACCGCGTGAGAGTGACTTCGGTTTGATGAAAGTATCGCATCCGAAGTGGGAGTTCCAACCTGAATGTTCTGTACTAGCGGTTGGCTAGTGGCAGGCTTAAGCAAATTCAGATTTGGTAGATTTCAGACCTGCAGGTTCTCTGAGTGTACTTTTGAGAAATCCCCCCCCTGAATCTTAAGTTGAGGATTTGATCAACCTCTGAGTTGTGTATTTACAGTTTCAGGTGTGTGTGTGTGTGTGTTTGGGTGTGCTACGCTGCATTGTGTGTCCTCCGAGTTGAACACCTATAGTATTTCTGGGAGTGATAGTAGCATGAGAATTCAAACTCCTCAATAGACTGTTAAACGTGACACTTTGTACTCTGTGTGCTGTTTCGGTACCCGTGGGTTCGATCCTTTGCTGTTATACTGCAATTTAGCATTGGTTGGATTATAACAGGCCACTCTTCAATAATGGGAGGTCAAGGACGAATGGGAGGAAGACCGCCGACTACAAGGATCCGAAGAGACGGGCAATAGCGCCGAGCATTATGCACATCTTGCGACCGGCGCGAACGACTTATGTCACGGCCTGGCAAGTGGGATTCTTTGAACGAGTCATTAAGAGACAACGGGTGCACTAGGCAAGAATCTTTTACGATTTTGTCCGAATGAATGCGAGCTCCCGGTGGGCAGGGCCGTTGACGAATCACTTGACTCCCTTCCTTGTGAATTTTTATCGAGGCATGGGATTGCTTATAAGGGAGGAGGAGAAGCGGTTTCCGAGGGAGCGGGAAATCTTAGCAGTTGAAGGGACCAAAGAAGAGGATAATAGTCGACCTCAAATTCCACCTCAGACGACAGCACGCTGACCTGTTCAGGTGGAATATCTGCCAAATCCAGAGAAGCCAGAACGGCGATTGACGAAGAGACAGAAGGTGGTGATCGATGACGAGGAGGATTTGATGCTAGAGGCAAGAAGAGCGGAAATGGAAATAGAGGGAGTTAGGTAGTCGAGAACTCGAGCTAGATTGAAGAGGAAGGCGAGTCGAGGGTTGGTAGTAACCGAAGCTTCGGACAGCAGTGTGGAGAAGACAGTTGCTCCAACCAACGCCTCACCCGAAGTAGCACTTGGCGAGCCGACACAGCCTGTGGTGACAGAAGGACCTTCGGCGGTACCAATCAAAGTTCCAGCGGACGTGACAGTGGAACCTTTGAGGGAGGGAACAGAGATAGTAAGTCCGAATTCTCTTTCTTTGGAGCGGACTTAGTTTGTGGGGAGTGAGGACGTGCCTCAGCCGAAGATCAGAGGGGACGTGACAACGGACGTTACGTTAAGCGAAGCAATCTTGGAATAGATTGTGGTAGAAGTTGATGGTACTGTGGGAATTCTTGCAGAAGAACCAGGGCCGCCACCACCAGAGGAGGAAGTAATATATGAAGTCAGGACGAAGACTTCGGGCGAAGAGGTGAAGCTATTGAAAATTATCTTCCCCGACTTCTTGCAGGATAGCGTAGTACCTTTACTGAGGTACCTAGACACAAAGAGGGAAAAGTATACTGTGAAGAAGGAGTATCTAGATCCTATGTTGAGCTGATTAGGAATATGACAAAGCTCAAGAGGGCAGTAGTAGTAAAGAGAGATTGGTACTCCGCGACTTAGTTGGCGAAGGAGCGAGCTGC